TGTGACGGGCACCCAGGCCCCTTCTCTCTGCTCGCTCTGCCATCCTTGTCATGCAGCTTGTACTTGTGGCTGTAGATGACTCGTCCAGACCCAGCCATTTTCTCTGTGCTCCAGAGAGCATGAAGGCAAAAAGCGGGAAGAGGATGAGTGGCCCCCACCCCTTTCAAGGATGCTTCCCAGAAGCTGAACACACACGCCTTCCTCTCGCTGCGGGAGAGGCCAGGACTTGCAGAGTTTATCTGCGGCAGCAATATCACTGGGAGGATGGCCAACTGTCCTGGTTTGCCCTGGACGGAAGGGGTTCCTGAAATGCTGGACTTTCAGTTTTAAAACTGGACAGTCTCAGACAAACTGGAAGAGTTGGTCACCCTCGTACTTAGGTAACACTTGGAGATACTGCCACTGAGAAAGCAGACAAGTTCCTGGGGCTATGCCAAGCCATCTCTGCCCTAGGAGATAGATAATCCTACTCTTCCAGTTGGAAATGGGGGATAGGCCCTACATTTCGCCCTATAGATGAAGGTTACTAATGGGCCACAGAATGCCCCCAGAGGACAATCCATGAGAGTGACATGTCTGGTCTTTGGCGCCTCTTGGTTTGCCTTTCTGCACCTTCCCATGCAGTTTCAAGAACTTATTCCATCCATCCATCTAGGCATTCAATCATCTGCCTTTTCGTTTCTAAAGCATTCACTGATGACCTAAAGTGGGCTCTGAAGATATTGAGATGAATGACACACTTAATTCCTGGCCCCAAGGAACGCACAGTTTAATGCGGGAGATGCAATCCACGCAGGCGATGCGTGACAGCGCAGGAGTGGAACTGTACCTGGAGCTTGCCACAAAGCAAAATGGGACCTAGAAGAGGAAACAACTAAACCTGCTTTGTGAGTCAGAGAAAGTGTCACGGCATGGGTGTCATTGTGCTCAACACTGGAGGTTAGGTAGGCCTTTTCCAGGTGGGGGAGGGAAGCATTCCAGGCACCAGCAGCAGCAGAGCAAGGCTCAGGCGGCAGACAGGGAGCACGGAGGAGGACAGGTCAGTTCTTTCAGGCTGGAATGCAAGGAGGGTGCAAAGAGGAGGGGAGGTGGTGGGGAGTGAAGTGAGTAAGGCAGAAAGGTGTGAAGAGCTTGGAATGTGGTAAAAAATCAAGTTGTGACCAGAGTCAGAGCAATCTGAAAGGCCATCCCTTAAGCTATTTTCGTGGTCTGGCTTCTCAGACAGAACCTTTACTACGCTAAAGTGAGTTACAAGAATCCACCAGTATAATGGGGGACACACTGTGGTGCCCATGGCCCAGCTGTTCTGTGGGACTCCTCTTGGGCCATACCCAAGGGCTCTCGGAGGGCGACTCCAAGTACCTGAGGAGATCATTCCTTTGGGCCTGGAGACTTAGGCCATATTCTGTCACAGGGTTTTCCATTCTTTAATAATTTATAAACTGTCTCCTTTTATCTATAGAAACATAAAGCTCTTAGAGTTGGCAAGGACCTTAAAGATCATATAGTCCAAACCCAAACAGAGAACCAGAGAGGAAACAGCACTAATCAAGGACAGAAGTGAATTAGAATTCAAGTCTTTAGACTTTTAAGACCATAAAGGTTTATGGTACTTTCAATATAAAAATAATACCAAAGTAGCACACAATAATTTTGTGAAAGCAGAGGGATCATTGTAGCAATCATCTGAGATTAAAGCATTCTAGCTAAAAATGAAATTTAATTTAATATGAATTTAGTTCTGAGCTTGGTGGCATCCAAGCAAAGACAGAGAAATGATGGTTTATATGGTTTTTTTTTAAGCTGGCAAAAGGTAGTATAGAAGTAAGGGATTTAAGTTCCCACCAGGAGCAGATGGAACTGAGCAGCCCCATGACAAAGCCTTCAGTAATTCACTTCCCAAACATGCAGAGCCTGCAAAGGTTCTGGGCACGCTGGCTTCAGGAGCTCATGGTCTAGTGGAAGATAAACAGTTAAAATCCCACATGGTAGGTGCTATGAAAGAGAGAGCCCATGATGACAGAGGGGGCTTCCCAGAGGGTTGTGACTATCAGCTGAGTCCTGTTGGGAGGGAGGGGGATCTGCTGAGCAAAGCAGGGCTTGGTGGCTCCGACTGCAGGGAGACATGATAAAGCCTGGTGGGTTTCAGGTGCTCAGATCGGCTGGCATGATAGGCTGCTGGGTAGAGAGTGGAGAGGATGAAGCACCAACAGAATGAATGTTGCCCATGATGACTGATACCCCCTCACTCCCCACCTTCCTGTCAGAGATGAGAGCATCTTCACTCTCACCTGTAGACCTGTTCCAATTTAAGAAGCAAATTCATACTTCCTTTTGCTGCAGGGGTAAGTTATGTACCAATCCAGCTGGTTTTCTGTTAGCTAGTAAAAACGTCAAGGACAGGTTTGGGTGGGGAGAGGGAAGAGAGAACACAGATGGGTAAGAGAGGGAGACCACAAAAGGGGGACAGTGCCCAAAGCAAGGGGGATATCAGGGCCTGGAAGACTGGCTGAATGCATCCCAAGTTGGCTTGAGATGTCTCCAGTCACCCTGGGAGTCCTCTGAGCCCACGGAGGAGCAAGCACTACTGCCAGCACATGATTTACTCCTCACAGATTAATTCGTGGCTCTTCTAGATGCTTGCTAGTGGGCATGGTTAATTAAGAGGGGATGGGGAGTCAGATTGGGTGGCATAAAGGCATTCTGGTGGGGTAGGAAGGAGGCAGGTACAGGTCAGAGACTGCCCTGTAGTGATGGAGACTGAGGTCAGGGGAAGGGGCTACGTGCCCAGAGGATATGTGTGGGGTATGGGGTGTGTGCGTGTGTTTGTGCACATGCACATGCGTGTAGTGGTGAATTCACCACTGCCTGGCTCAATCTTAATCAATGTTCAGTGTGAATTTTGGGGGAGCAGACATGCCTATGGTCCATCCAGTTCTGTCCTGTTTATTATTTCATTTACTTCACATGAGTACTCTCTGAGGGGGAACTTTTTTTATAGATGACAAAACCAAGGCTGAAGGGCTGAGTGGCTCCCACAGGGCACAGAAAGGTGAGAAGCCCAGTCTGATTGACCCTCAGGTCTGTCCCCCTGCACACCCTGTCCCCCACACATGTGCCCTGGCATGCTGACCGTGGAGGCCACCCCTTCCGTCCCCAGCTTGGCAGACTCTACCGGGGCCCACTGACTCCCACCCTGTGTGCCTTCCCTCCTGTCCACATGTGCTGTCCAGACCCATTGAGAAGGACCTCACTGCCGGCTCTTCTGCACTGCAGATGACTTCTGCAGTGCTTAGAGATTCTCAACATATTTCCTTCTCAAATAAACAGGGCTGGACTTTTTGGATAAACTTAGTGATTTTGAAATGATTAAATAGCCAACTGCTGGGAGAGATCTGGGAGCATTCTTCTAAGGTGTTGATAAAATGTAAACACAGATCTTACACTAAATATGATGGATTGTGTATGAAAGTTACCTTCTTCAGCCTCTTGCAAACAGCAGTGTAGACAAGTGCTTGGATCCTCTTCCACAGGAGAGGTGACAGGATTGGGGCAACCAAAGAATCATGAGATTAGGGACAAAGGGCCCCAAACAGTGCTTGCAGCAGTCACCTGCACCGCATCCCATCTGGCCTTCCATGAGCCAAATGAAGTCTGGAGTCTGGTGGTCCCCAAGCCTTGGAGGGGAGACCACCCTTGCCCTTCCTGTCTGCTGCTACCCTCTTCTCAGGACCAAACCCTCCATGAAGATGCAGGTTTCACCTCCTCTTTGAAGCCTACCAGATACAGTAAGCATTGCTCTCTTGTCTTTGACTCCCAATGTGGGTTTTTGATTAAATAAAGAACAATCGGAAAATCCGCAGGTACCATAAGGCATTCGTTTAGGTCAAGAAGGTGTTTTTCACCTTTTCCACACCTCCCTTTGCCCCCATCTCCTCCCCAGGGCTTGGCTCAGGGTCTGGGACTTAAACAAAGAGTGGTCTTGCTAGGCGCTCGCCAGAGGTGAGTGGTCAGCGGCTGCTGGGTTGGTGGCGGCTGGCAGGGCGCAGGACGTGGGGTGGGATCCCAGAGAACACTGGGCGCCTACAGCTTGGAGCAGCTGGCTCTGAGGAATTACTGCACGTCTGCACAACTTAAAAATCTGCAGTTTGGGGGCGGGAGGGGGAGCGCGGGGGTGGGTCCCGAGCGTCGCATTTCTTCTCCTGGCTGTCGACTGAGCGTTCTCGCTCAGTGCAGAGAGGCCAGCCCTGCCTTCTGGACCACACTGCCCTGGCTGAGGTCCTGACGTGCTCCTCAACCTAGGCTGCAGACATCTACGTCTGACTCCCTCTTCCATTCGTCCTTCAGAAAGGGGACCCGACTCGTTCCTCTTCCACATATGAGGTGTATTTTCCCCATGCAAATGTCTAGCCACCTCTTCTGATTTGGTAAGTCGAGGAATGGGACAATCCATCTTGCTCCGCACTGTGCATGAGTGTTCAGGCAGTGGGATTGGTGGCAAACATTCCTCCTTCGCACTTTGTTTTAAAACAAGTTGGGGCCTCGCGACTTCTTAAGAAAATCCGCGCAAATTTGCAAAGTGTTGCTAGGGCCGCGACTTTCAAGAGACTATAGCCTGAGCCGCTGGAGCCGTGGGGAAGGTCATTTTTTTCCTGCGGAGCTGCGGTGCTTCCGGCCGGGAGGGAGCACAGGTGGCAGGCGCGGGGCGCGCTGCTGCTCCCACCCGGACAGGGCTGGACGCTCCGGGGGTGACTGTGCACTTGGGCCTGGGCGGGGGCGCGCGTCCTGCAGGACCGTGTCTCGGTCCATCCATCCATCCGCCTGTCTCGCGCTGCGAGCCCCGCAGTCCGCAGCCGCCCGCGCCCTCGGCCCGGGGCGCCCCAGCTGCTGGCCCAACGCGAGGTGGCTGGCGGAGCCGGGACCAATGGGGCGGCGGCCGAGCGACGGGCCCCGCCCCGCCCCGCCCGCAGCTCCCCGGAGCGCCGCTCCAGCTGGGCGGGACAGACGGACTGACCGACCGACGCGGGCCACCGGGCTCTCCTCGCCGCCGCCGCGGCGGGCGCGGGGCCGCGCCGCGAGGCCTGATCCCTGCAGCGCGGGCGGGCGGCGTCGCAGAGCGGAGCGAGCCAGGCGCGCCCGGACTCCTGCAGGTACCTCCTTGCGTGCCCACCTCCCCTCGCGCTCGAGACTTCTCCGTGCGACCCTGCAACTTTCCCGCACCTTCTCCCACCTTTCGCTGTCCCAGACCCTCGCTGTCCAGGTCGCGGGAGCACGACCCCGCAGGTCTAAGCCCTCAGGGGACTTTGCATCTCGCTGGGCGTCGGGATCCCGGAGCCCCATCTTCTGGTCCCCAGAGCCGGCCGTCGCTGGAGTCCTAAGGCTCCGCCTGTTGCGTGAGCTGCGAGCAGCCAAAACGGTGTGTGGGTCCCTTTGAAAGCCGCGGGAACGTATCTAGGACCAGCTTTCTGGCCATGGGGTGGGGTGGAGTGGAGGACCGGCTGGAGGCGGGAGAATCGGTGAGCCAGGGAAAGGCGGCACCTCGCGTAGGGGTATCCCCGGGGCGTTTCCTTAGCCAGGAAGCCGTTCCTTTGCTTCCTCGAGAGGAGGCGCTTTCCTGGAGCTTGTAAGTGCTTCCCAGGCCTCCTGCTCCGCCTTCTTCCCAGTCATTCCTCCCCTCCCCTCTGCCCTGCAGCGGTGCTGGGCGCCCCGCGACAGTTGCAGGAGCGCATCCAGGGCCCTTGCCCTTGTGCAGCGCTGCGCTCGCGGACCGCCGGCGCTCGGGGTAGAGGCGGCTTGGGGCTGGTAGGGACGGTGAGGGATCGCCTCGGACTCTCAGCGTTTGGATCAGTGGTAGTGGTGGGGATGGGTGCACCGGGGTCAGGAACTCCTCTTTTCTGCTCCCCTCTGGGTGGCTGCCTGACCTCTTCAGGTGCCCGGGCTGTGTAAGTGAGCCAGTCCTGCCGGCAGGGGCCGCGGCGAGCCTGGCTGGGCGCCTTTCGCATTGCAGGGCTCCTTCTGCACCCCCATCCGCGCTCGTTCCCTTCTCGTCTGTTTGGCGAAAGGAGCACTTTTGCACCCTTGGTGTTTCTCCCGGGGTTTCGGCTGGGGAAACTGGGCCGAAAGCTTAAGTCAGGCGGCCCGCGGCAGGGGCAGAAGACAGCAAAAGAACCACTTCCATCTGCCAAAATGACCCAGGCGCCCTGGGTTTGGTGCACGGACGTGAAGGGAGGGGGAGGGGCGGAGGGATTCCTTGTGGTCTTCCTGGAGAGTAGATCTGCGGTTCCCCTGATCTCTTGGTTTTTGTTTCACACCTTACCCTTTGAAGAGAGTGAGGCAGGTGAGGAAAACCAGTTCAGAAACCTTTCCTGTCTCTTTTCGTGTATTTGCTTAAGCGATTTGCATAACCATTCGCTTAGGACTGTGTAAATTACTCCTAGTTGCCCCCCTTCTTAGACTACTTGCAAATACCTGCCCAGGTAAACAGGAAACAAGCATTTCCCTGAGCACCTGTCTCCTTGCTAAAGGCATATGCCCAAGTGCTTTGTCCTCCCCACATATCTGGAGCTGAAAGCGGGTGGCGTTGTAACGCACGGGTCCCACTCCTTACCTGGGCTGTGATCTTGAAGACCTTGATCAGTTCAGTACGCATTTACAACCAGCGCCCCCCCCCACCCCCTCCACCCCCGGGGAGGGGCTGCGCTCTGGGGACAGTGGAAGATGATATGGTTTCTTCCTTTGCTCTAGTTCTGTTCTTGTTTTTCACCGGATTCCTTCCTTCTCTTGTCCTAATATTAAGTTTGTCATTTCAGAACTAGGAATATTTGTCAATATTGGGATGGGGAGGAGAAGGTGGTGTTGAAGTGCTTAAGAACTCTGAATCCAAAGCATGTTACTAAGGAGACATGTGGGATCTGTTTTAATTGAATCTTGTGTCTGAGCCTTATTGCCTGAGAAAAGCCACTGACGACTGCACCTATGCTAAGCTTTTGCTGGTCAAGTGTATGGGAGCAAATTGGGAAGTCAGAAGCAGTCTTTGCTCTGTTCAGAAATGCTAAAATATTAAAAATCCAATGCTCTGGAGCTTGGATTTGCCAGCAAAGCACCAATTGAGTATCTTCATCCTTTTTTTCCTAAGAAGGAAGGGGAAGAGGATTGCAGTCCCCTCCTGTCTTCAGTGAGTTTTGACCTTCACAGACACGCATCCCTCTGTTCCACCACACATCTCAATCTGCCCCGTGTCTGGCATTTGGGGTTGGAATGTGTCAGCTTGGAGAGTGCAGGCACCACAGGGTTTTCCTCCTCCTCCTCTTCTTCTTTTTTCTTTAATAGATAACATTTATTGGCTGCATACGGTATGCCAAATACTCTGCTAGGCACTTTTCCAGGCCTTATCTCATTGAATCCTCATAACAACAGCATGAGGAAGTGGGGCTTGTGTTCTTCCCTGAAGCATTGCTGTGGGAGGCAGCAGTAGATGACACCTCCCTAGACGCACCCTGAGTTATATGGAAGGACAGCTCTCCAGGGTAGGTCGAGGCAGAGAGGAAGGCGGGAGTCTTTATTGCCCCAGCTTATCGGGTGTCAGGAGGGTGGATCTTCCAGAGTGCCACTTGTGTGTAATACCCACATAAGAGACATCATAGAGTACAGACTGGGACCCAGGGACCTGTGTTCTAGCCCTTATTTCTCCTTCTTTATGGCTCTTTGACTTGACCATGTCACTTTGATTTTGGGGGTCTTGGTCTGTTCAGCCATAGGTATCTCTATCTCTGATATCTGTTACCCTGTACTAGGCACTGAAAGCTAAGAGCTTTTTGCATGTATTAACTCATTTCATCCTGATGGTACCTTTAAAAGGTGGGCTCTATTATTTCCCTATTTTAGATGAGGAAAAAGGGACAGACTGGGCAACCTGCACAAGGTCACCCAGCTGGGGAATGTGAAGCCGGGATTCTCTCCCTGGCAGTCTGACTGCTGAGCCACTGGGAGAGTCAGTCTTCCTCATTTATTCCTACAGCGCCAGCACTGTTCCCTCGCTTAGTAGAATCCCAGACTAGGTTTGTTGAACAGTGACAGGTAGAGGTAGCTTGCAGTTATCAAGTGACTTTTGGGTCTGGTATGTCAGCCTTAAAAAGAACCTTGAAGACTGCATTAGAAAAATGTTCTCTTTTCCTTTGCCAAAATAGTCTGCTTTTCACTGGAATTCTGCCCAGCTGGTTAGGAAAAAAGGAAGATAGACTTTGAAGATCATGGGCCAGGCAAACATTATGTTTATTTCCAGAAAATGTGTTTATCGATATAAAAAACCCCCAGAAAAATCACAGAACACTTTGCATGCTGAATCAAATCTGTCAAATAAGTCAACCAGTAATGAACCCAAAGTATTTATTGTGTGGGAGCCACGTACCCAGTACTCTAGGCACTGAGAGCAGGCAGAATCTGTAATGTGGTCTTTGAGCTTGAATTTAAAGTGGATCCGGGGAATGAAGATCAATGGGTACAAGACAGAACAATACAAGATGCTAACTACTGAAGTCCTGATGACAATTACAATGACTTGGTCCCATTTGTATAACTTATTGTGGTTTGCAGGAACTTTCACAGGGGACATCTCATTTCAGTCCCCAGAGCAACTGAGTGGTTAAGTGAAAGGCAGGGCAGAGGTTGGGAAGTCCAGATTGCACATAAAGAAATTAAGGCAAAGGGAAGCCTTGAACTTATGTGTAAGCAGGGGTCTTCTGACTTCAGATCCTACGTCTTTCTGCCTCATTTCTGTGTGGTGCTGGAGGGCAGAGCAGGAGGGCAGAGCAGGAGGGCAGTGAGATATCAAGAGTCCTTAGAGGGGGCTAAGTTTCAATTTTATCCTAAAGCTGGCTTTTGCTTGCCAGTATTGACTACCCAGTGTGCTTAGTGGGAGCAGGGGAGGAGGAGTAAGTAGAAATAAGGGGGGAGGAGAAAGAGTGTTTTTTGTTTTTTTTCTTTTTGCTGTTTTATTTTTTCATGGACCTGCTGCTATGTGAGGCATGGAGTGAATACCCAATTATGATGAACACCATAACAATGTTTAGAATGTGCAATAAAGTGTAGAGGCTGATTTAGAATTCCCGTCGTTGTGTTTCTTTATCATTTCTCTAGATCATCTTTTGAAACTTCACAGCATACACACATTAGAAAAGTAAACTCTCTTTAATAAGCTAAAAAATATTTATTAGATTAGGTTATAGTATTTTTCTTTGTGCACAAGAGGTCTCATTCTCTTTGGCATCATGCAGAGCCTTATGCCATGATTTATTTGCTTGGAGGAGATACCATATAAATATATTCTTCAACTGTACAGGTGTTGAATGATAAAGGCATAAGATCTGCTTTTAGTCAGTAATGTTGCAGATAAGCTGTTAATGTTGACAGCAGCCAGCTTCAGTGGGCTTGCTGAAGTCCCAGACGAATTCAATGTCCTGCTGACTGTCCAATTGATCAGTCAACTGAGCACCTACCAGATGCTCTCTGAAGTTCACTTAATGATTAACTTATGGAGGTATACCTATTTACATATTCATCTGTTTACATATTCAAATATGTAAATCATCCATTTGAAAACATTTGAGTACTTACCTGGTATTATGTACTATGCTAGGTGCTGGCTATACTGTGGTAAAAGAAACAGATTTGGGGGGAAAGTGAAAGTGGTGGGAAGACAGATGTTAAATAAATGCAAAATTTGGGTTGTGGTCAAAAGGGCTTCACAGAAGAGAGTTACAAGGGTGGGGAGGGCATCAGTGTAGATAGGAAGGTCTGAGGAAGAGACATTTCATTCTGCAGGATGGATAGGAGTCCATCCAGAGAAAAGTGGGAGGAGGGAATTCCAGGCTGTGGATTCTAAGGCAGGAATGAGCACTGAGCATTGGAGGAACTTCAGGAGAACATGGGTGGGGTGGCTGGGGGGAGTTTGGAGAAGAGGGCAGGGGCCAGATCAGGCTGTGCCCTTTAGGCCAAGTTCCAAGGGCTGAGGAAAGGAATTAATGGATTTGTAGCAGGCAGCGAATTTGTATTTATACAAGATTGTCTACGAGAGCTGTGAAGAATAGACAGGTGCCAGTGTGGTAATTGGGAACCTAGTTTGGGAGGCATGTTGTGGAGGTGGGACCTAAAG